GAATGCCGCGAAAACCACTGCTTCTCTAGCAACGCACACCGCAACAATGGACATATGGTTATTGTTCGGTTGGGTGGCGACATAGCCCTCGGCGGCTGACACGCAATTCATGGAATTTCACCACCACCACCATCGCCATCGTCATCGTCATCAGCAGCAGCAGCAGCAGAATGCGCACCTGAAGGCAGTGTTCCTGGATTCTAAATCCGCGCCGGCGTCCACCAAAACCACGGCAACTTTAACGGCGTTTTGGACCGCCGCCCAATTCAGCGGTGTCCTGCCCTCAAAGCAGGTGGCCGTCATGTCGGCCCCCGCCTGTACCACGGCCAGCGCCACGACGGAGTTGTTGCTGACGGTGGTGACGTGCAGAATGGCGCAGCCCTGTGCACCGGCGGCAGTGAAGCAGCACGCGCTGGGATTCGCCCCTGCCGCCAGCAGTTCGTCGACTGCCTCCTGCGTGGAGACGCGCTCTTTTGTTTTCGCCAGAAGGTACAGTTCCTGTGCAGCCCAATGTAAGATGATTTCATGAGTTCAGATAAGTTCTGCGGCGATTGTTGATTTTGCTGCACGCAGTTCGCAGCGCAAGCATCCATGCGACTTGTCACATGCACTGCTCCGCCATGCAATTGATGGAACCAGTCTTACATGGCAAATAAGTTTCCGAAAGTAGTTAAATGATGCCGAATTTTCAGAATCATGCATTGTAAATTGAATAAAAACAAAATGACGTCCTGATACAACCTGCCATCGGCAATGAGAATATGCGTGGATCTTGCGTATCATTGTGGCTGACATCTGAACATTGCGACTGTAAATTTTACCGCTTCCATATGTTCCAGAGTCCGCGGCGCTCACCCGATCGACCCGCTCTTGTTCCTCTGGGGAAAGCCTCTCCTGCAAGCCAAGAAGAGATATCCTTAACGCATGTGTTCCAAATTTCCATTTAAAACTTCCCCAACGTCTACCACCGTCTGGCGCAGTGATCCACTTGTTGAAGATCATCAGGCTTGGCTTTTACGCCGTTAGGACTGAGCGTATTTACGGTTTTACGCGCAAAAACAGTTTTTATGTTTCTAAGTGCAAAGCGAGAAAAAATACGCAAAATACAACGTAAATGCAGTCCCGTGTACATGAGAACAGTACATACAGACTTGGGGAGTCCGGGGAGTGGTAGTCAGATGCGCTGGAATGGGTATAAAATGAACTTTGTTGCATGCCGTCGTTGCCCTTGCCGTGGGCAAGGTGGGCACTGTGTTGCGGGTGCTGGAGATGTCAAAGGACAGATCATTGTTTGCAACTTTCATCGTGCAACCTGGATGTCCCTGCGAGCCGTAAAAACCTAAAAATAGTCGTAAAAATAGCTTCTTTCGCAATTTATGTTTCTGCGCGCAAAATCATAAACGCAAAAGCGTAAACGTGAAAGAAAAACCCAAGCCTGGAGAATATTTAGATGACGCGCGACCTTCCACACGAAATAAAGGGATAGGCGCCCTCATTTTACCAAAAAGGCTGCAGAAACCTTCTGCTTCCAAACGGTACGTGTCGATTTCAGATACGAATAAATATGCGAATTGTCACCACAGATATTAAGTCTTGTCTGCGCAGTGCCAAAATTGGGTACCAGGCGCTCGCAGACGTGGGTAAGACTTTTACTCCATTCTCACTGGAAAATGAAAAGCAAGGTCTTCGCACCTGTAGGGTGATATCAGCGCATAGCTGCACACGAAATGTCATTAATTCAATACCAAAAGCACACAATAATGAGGTAAAACTAACAAAATAGGAAATCGGCATGGATATTCCCTCGAAGGTCCTTGACAAGCATGTGACATCCATGTGCCAATCCTTAAATTTGAAAATATGGCAGTCACATACGGTGATGGGATTTAAATCACATCGCCGCCGACGCTCCGGCCCTTGGCATCTCGTGTGACACCGGTGGTCATGAACACTGCCGCGTGCCATCGAGTCACATATCTCACCGACTGAGGGGACTGCGTTGTGGAAGGCTCGGCGGGTGGAGGCGGATCGGCAGGAGGCTCCGATGGAGTTGGCGGCGGCGGGACGGGCGCTGGAGCGGATTGTGCGGGTGAGGGGGAAGGCACGGGAGGAGAAGGCGGCACTGTCTGAGGAGCTTCGGGAGGAACAGGTGGCGACACAACCTGCAGAAGCGATCGCCAAGCAGTGTCGTTTGTCCCGAGTGCCCCAGTGAACAAGCTGCGGATCAAAGCAACCTTTTGTGATATGGAACAGGGCGCGCGATCTCACACATTGGTTTGTTCGTTTCTGTCAAGAACCCCATTCGGGAAGTATATTTGAGAACTTTCCCTACAAGTTTATTTCTGATCAGAGGAATGCGCACTTTTTACGTGGCGAAGTCGCAACAATTTTAAACTTTCTTGCGCACTAAATATCCTTGCGTGTGCCTGCGTGTGGCATGCTGTCGCACGTGCTTGCACACAGCGAACAGCCAATCTCAAACACAACGTCTCACGCTGTGGCCGCAGTTTTACAAACTGCGATAATTATCGATGTACGCAGAGAAGTGCATCTGAATGACTGTTCTGGGGCTCCCTTACCGGGTCAGACGGAGGGACAGACGAAATTGGAGGGGGCGGCCCAGCTGATTTCTGCATGCAAAACAGTGCCGTCCGCAATCGTTAGAAAAAAGGGGATAAAGAACACGTTTTCAAACATGTACAAAATTTACGGGTTTGGTCTATTTTCGTGTTTTTGGCATGCAGAACACTAATCAAATGCATATTCGTGAAAATCGCTTTTTGGTCCTTTTTATGCTAGTGAATACGGCGTCTCAATCAATCAAGAAAGGTGCTTTATATGTTCTTCATATTTCACCGAGGTATGGGTTCATGTGTGGGAACGGCGCTTCGTCAGCTGCACTCCGCCGTGAAATCCTGGCCCATTTGATGTATTTTCTGCTGCATTGAAAAGAACCTCGACAGGGCCCCAAGGCTCAGTGGCTTTTGTGCTGGCTGGAACATCTGGAGGCCACCAATTCAGTCAACCGCAATTACGCTGACAAGCGTCAAATAAAGACCTGCCGTCAGACGGCGTGATGGACTGCAACATGTACTTGAGCGGTACTAGAATCGGTCATGGTCTTAAGATCTAGCGGGCCAGATTGTGGCAATAATTCCGGGATAGACTTTTTAGGACACGCAGAATTTCGCACATGAATTCCCGCTTACCCATTTGTGCGCGCAATTTTGTGTGTTTGACTGTCCTTGAAGCAAGGCATGCAAAAGCTCTGTGCGTGAGCTTCTGCAAATACACAATGGTGATGTTATACCGGTAGTCTTATACCTGGTATAAGTTGTATTGGTGCAGAAGTAACCAATCCAACCATGGAAGTTGTATTCTGAATTCATTCACTGTTGTCTTACTTATTCATTTACTTACCTATGTTTTGGATTTCCATTCCACTTATTCAGTTAATATATACTTCCTCCTTCCGGAATTAAATGGAATAGTTTGTGGACTGACCGTATTCTTATCATGTACGTCTATTTTTCATTGAAATTTGGACCACAGCATTTATTATGTGTTCAGTCAATGCTATCAAAAATTCACTGACAGAAAAAAAGATCCAGGCACATGGTAGTCCTTGAAGCCGAACGACTCAGCAACGGAATTTGAACATTCGTAGTCAGTCGCCTGGCGCCCAGGATCCAGAAAAGCCCGGCGCACGAGTGACGCCCCCTCCAGTGGTCTTCACAGTATTGGAAGGGTGGAGTTGCCTTGGCGCGTGGGCTCAAGCCGAAAGATCAACAACCGCCGCAATGCACGATCAGCAGATATGGCGTCTAGCTCTGGACACCGCCTTAGATGTATGCTAGAAATCCCAGCCAACTTCCCGGTGGCAAACCAACATGCATTAGATCCCCCACTACGTAGAGATCTCCTGGTGGCTAAAGACTAGCGGTGGGATGTTTGCGTGCGACTTAAGCTCTGTGTTCAGCTCAGATCTCTGATTAAGAGGCCGCCTGATGCAAGCTACTGCTCTTCACAAACAAGCATAAACCCCGCCAAACATGACAATGGAAGGTTTTCATGCTCTTTTGGAGACCCCACATGTCGCTATGGTGGGGCTCTTGCCTCTTGCAAGAGCACAAGTGAAGCTCCATTGCAGTGGCGCCTTCGAAGCGGCATGGACAATGCGCAAGGTGCTGCTCACGGCTGTGCCCACCACCGCCAATTTCAACGAACTTCTGTCTGCCGCGCAGGGGAGGCAAGATCACATTCTCCCAAACTTTCTATGGTGGTCTTAGCACCGATGGCGACTTCGCCCATGGTGGCGGCCCTTAGTAAAAAAGCCATGGTTGTGAAGTTCGCCGATTTCTGGGTCTCAATTCGGAGCTGCTGTCCCCATTAGCTCATCAAAACCACGGCGGCTATCAACGATCTAGCGGTACAGAACCCAGTTTCTCGGTCTTTCCCTTTTAGAAGAACGGTTTCGACCTGCCCCCAAGACGGCAGCAACAGATATCCACTCTGGGCTATGCAGTCGCAAGGCGGCCTGGTCAAGGACCCGTTTTGGGTGTCGTTCGGCCAGACCTTAAGAAGTTTCTACATTTTGCCCTGAATCACAAGGGTTGAAAGTACAGCCATGTGGCCGATACTTAGCCGTTGACCACAAAATTTGGCAATAAATAGTAAATAACGCAGTGTACATAAGGCTTTGGTCCAATTTTAAAGTAAAATTAACAATTTCGTGATGCAAATGCAGTCTCTCAAGCAAATTGTTTCATTTATTTCCGGACGAAGGAAGTAATACTTTTATCCTTTCAGTTGCGCATGCGCCCAGCGGCGAAAACACTCTTCATCGAAGGAATGCACTGCGAAGTTTCCACGTCATTTAAACATTTACAGTAACGGAGCAGAACTCACAAAATATTCATAATTCATTTCATTCTTGATTTTTAATGGCAGTAGTAAAGATGCGCCACAGAGCTCAATCCTGTGCCCGCTGCGTTCTACCGTCAATGTTTTAGAGCCTTATTTGCCGCAGAAACAATGCTCACCCCCATTTGCGCCTCAATCCAAGGACGGAAGCTACTAATCCTCGTGAAAACGCTGGGCAGTCTTGGATCCTCGCAGTTGCTCTCGCCGAATGACGTGAGGCCTACAATTATGTCAACAGAAGGGTTGCCCGCAGAGAGGTTGCCATCGGGAGCGTGGGCCTCAATGAGGGGGCCTCCACTGTCGCCTGTTAATGCGAAAAATGGCAAGCGAGTATTGTTCAAAAAGGAGGTTCAACGGTAGCAAACCCATATTACCATAAATCCTGTAATACAAAAATAACAACAGAGTTCTGTAGTACAATACAGGCTTGGTTTTTACGCCGAAAAGACTGACCGTATTTACGTTTTTACGCGTTAAAATAGTTTTTACGTTTTTACGCGTAAAAATGCGTAAAAATACGTAAACACAACGTAATAACTGCCCGGTGTACATAAGGACAGTACATACAGACTTACGGAATCCGGAGAGTGGCACCCAGATGCTCTGGAATGGGCAGAAAACGAGCTTTCGTTAAACGCCATCATTGCCCTTGCCAAGGGCGGGGCGGACATTGTGTTACGGGTGCTGTAGATGGCGGAAGATTGATCATTGCAGGCAACTTTTATCGTGTAACCTGGGTGTCCCAAGGAGCCGTAAAAACATAAAAATAGCCGTAAAAATAGGTTATTTTGCAAATTCACGTTTTTACGCATAAAAACGTAAAAGTAAAATCGTAAACGTAAACATAAAAACCAAGCCTGGTACAATAAGTTTGTAAACAAACTTTTCATGCATACAGGGATTGTAAGCCGCAGTATATTTAGGAGATACCAAATGCCAAAGAGCATAGAGATTCGTCGCATCCAATGATGGCATTATTCCCCACATGCTTGCGTTTGCTGACAATGTATTTGCTTTTGCAACATCTGCATATTGTCCATAATCCGCATCATTACAGACCAAAATTAGCACACTGGAATAACAGTATCTGTCTCTTCATACTGTGACAATGTATGTGCCATGGCAAACGTCCCTACAATCAACACAGCGGACACAGACTTTCATTCAAACAATTGTGGTCATCTACGCAACCGGTACACAGGATGCCACTTTTTGCACAAGAACAGCCATCATCATCCTGTCCGCACATCGCCGCACTTTCACAAGGATCCCATGTTCCCAATATCAAAATCTACAGCGCTACACTTGCGATCTGGTCGGAAAGTTGTTGGTGAATTGCAGTCACATGCATGCGCTCACACTTGTTGTCGAGATACTTGAGTGCACAGCATTCCCATTCCCGGATCGTACCTGCCCACGTATTACTGTCCCTGGCGCAGCGCCTACGAAGCTCCTACGCTCATCTATCTGCGTACCATTTCCTTTTCCGGAGTGACTCAACGGCAAGAGTGTCTCGATACGATTCCGGTTCTGAGCCCATTCCGTTCCTGACCAGCCCGCCTCCAACTGCCACGGAAAAGGTCCATGATATTTTGTGTCGATATAACGTTATTGTGCGCTAGTCCCAGTGCGCAAACGATGACACAAATGTGTGGTGAATTGACGATCGTCGATGTAAACGCTAATGCGGCCTGAACGCTAATGCACGGGCCGTGCTGCAGTTGATCATCGGGAACTAATCAAGCACCGACAGTGCTTGGTCGAATTCTGGCCACATTCCAGGTGCACCAAACTCATTTTCATCCTCAGGGCAACTCACCCAAGTTTCCCACCTTCGCAAACATTGCCGCCATCGACACCTTGGCCGCACACCATCGATTCTGTAATAACGGAGCCCCACGCATCCGGCGCCCCACACTCTCCACTTTCGATGGCCTCCATGGTCACCTGCTGCAGTACTTTAGCTCGGCTGCTGCCCAATCCCCAGCCGAGGGTCACGAGCCTGGAGGCCCCTCGTATTACGTGATTGTCCATGGGCAGACCAGCGTGCGCGTGCTGGGATCGCTTCCGCAACTTCAAAAGTGCGATGTCGTTTCCATTCTCCACCTTCCCGTCCCATTCCTCGTGTATGAAGGCCTTCTTAGGGAGGACGGTCTGAGGGTGGCACGTCGCAGTGCTGTAATTTCAAGTTCAATTCAACGTGGTAATCCAAGAGCGGCGCTGCGATCCGACAGGAAGGGAAACTGTGAAGAATTTGCAAGAATGAATTCCAACACGAAAAAAAGCAAGGCTGTCTGCACGCACTTGGGGGAGCGCCCCTCCAGCTGATGTCTACCTTTGCAGACATATTGGCCATTGGATCATGAGTGGATTTGTGTAGAAAGAGCGCCAAAAAAATGTATACTAACAAAATCACCAAATATTCATGGCAGCGTGTTTGCCAAAACTCAGATTATTTTGAAACGATCGACACGCCATCTTCATTTTAAACCAGCTGAGTACTTTTGAAGCCATGGCAACAGTGGTCCAAGTGTATTCTGGCTCCAGTTCAAGGACAAGTACTCGCAGCACAATGGCATCATTCAAGTCTGGAAGTATACTCTTTACCCCTTACATACTGAGCCTGTGCAGGATCTGTCTGCAACCTTTCGGTAAAAAATGTTCCCTCAACTGCAATGTGTTTGCACAAAGTACACCTAGAATGCACAAGCCATTTCCACATGGAGAATAGAAATATAACAGTGCTCTTGCCGTCAAATCGGGTAGAAAAATCATCATTCAAGGTCAATTTGCTGTGTAGAGCAAAGCAATGTACGGAATATACATTGATTGCCTCATTATACTTTGCTGGCACGGATTTCAACCATGAACGACTCCCAGTTCATGAATACTGGCCCACCTCGACCACGCCATTTTCATTGACCAAATCATCCAGATTGCAGGCACCGATGAAGATGATAGGCGTGGTGCCTGTAGAGCCGGGGTCATTTGGGTCCACGCAATGAGCGGCCGTAAGCACCCATTTTGGGCCCACTAGGACCCCGCCACACTTGTGGACATTGTTGGTGGACCTCAGAGACACCATGTAGGGGTGGCGTCCGCACTCCGCATCCACACCATTCTGCAGCCACAAGCTGTTGCTCAAATGCGATGTAATGCTCTGAAATGAAAGCCCCAAATTTCAGCACTGTTGGATAATGGCTCACGAATACGACAAAAGAAAGCACAAGGCTTGGTACAGTAAGCATTCAACGCATTGACAATGCACCAAACCTGGCAGCATACATCACCAACTTAGGCAGAAGTCGATGCAACATCGTGGGTGGGTTTTCGCCGATGCAAAGCCAAACAACGCTGCAACAACGCTGTGTGTCAACATGATACATTGCTACAATGTTGTAGCACATGCTAATGCTTGTCTGCATTGAAATAGGAACATTTGCTGCAGCGTTGCTGGACATTGCATCAATAACATTGGAGCCACAGTGCAGTATCATTGTCAGCCCTAATTCTGGATGGGTTTGTAGGATGCATACCTCAAAATGATGTAACACATGCACTGTGTGAGCACATTCAACAAGGCGGCTATCTTGGAACTCCAAAGGCCAGCGAACCAGTCCCTACTGTAGATTAGAGCAGATGGTTATCTGGCACTGTCTACAAAATTCTGTGGTCACACACATGACTGAGCAATCACATGTTGCATGCCCCCCAAAATTGACAACAGATACCTGGCAAAATATGGGTAAAACGTGTGTGAGATATCTTGGTTGTGGGTTGTCATGCTTCAGACAATGAGCCCATCATATCAAAATGCAGGTATATAATGCACCGGCAATGCATCCACATTGCACCCAGCAACATGTTCGTGGGCCCAAATAATTCTCAGCTGCCAAGCAATGGTTCACCACCTGGCCCCAAGGAACCTGAACCAAAGGAACAAGCCATATTGTCTTTTGCCAAGTCCCAGGCACCCTTGCAAGGCACTGATACCAGGCTCAGACACACCATGCTCAGTGCTGTTAGAAGGATTTTGAGGGCCTGCAGGACAGCAACAGGCCACAGCCACCACGGGGCTAACACAACCCATGCACGGTGTTACCATGATGCACTGAATTGAATTCAATTGGATGGCAATACATTGTTATGGTTTGCTTCCACAAAGCAAAACAGTTCCTTCCATCTTGATGATTCCCTTGACATTGCGAAGTGAGTGATATACAGATGAATCAGTGCCAGCTGTAGCTTCCTCACAGCAGCGTACAGACTTGTTGTCCAGCCCAATGAGTGCCCCTCAGCTCTAACACAAACGCTGTCTTTGGTTGATATTGCATGGCCAAGAAACCTCTGAGTTGCAAGCTTTGCGTCGCACTTTCAGGGAGTTGTTCATCATCTAAGAAAGGAGCCCCACCAATATATTTGAAAAGAAAGGGTGCCCAAAGAATGGTGGAATCCCCCTCCAAGTGCAGCAATGTATAGCATGTACATTAACAGACAGAACTGCGCATTGCGCTCAGTTGAAATGTAAGTCAAGTGCCACTGTACTGCATAAGGATCTGGCAACTTGTGCTGTTGCAGGCAGAGATCTTGGCGATCCTGGTCTAAAAGAACCCCATCTCAGTAGCATTTGGTCGAGGGTACAGCCTTCAGAATACTGCCTGAAGATAGTGATACATGGCGACTGGGAATACAACCTGGTATTATCCAGTCCAAGATATTATTCTCACCGAAATGAAAGCAGTGGCATTTTGCTGGAGTTGCCTCGTATGTTGCACCTCTTGATGCACTGTGTTGCCTGCGAAGCAGCCCTTGACAAGTTACACGTGAGGACTCAACAGCAGCAGAATGTGGAACAGCTTTGATGAGTTCAAGCCCAGCGTACATGGTCTAGGGTTGATCAATGGCGACCCCTGTATTGAGAGAATGCAACCTGCACCATGGCAGTGCATTCCCCTGGCACCTATCGCACCCCAAGACTAGCTGTACTACCTGCTCCTCAATAATCTCACCTGCATTGCTCCACTGACCTAATGCGGTGTGCCTGAAAGTGGATTCGCGATCCTCAGCACACGAGGAGCCCAAACCAGCGAAACAAGGAGGCCATGGCCCCCTAAAATCGCGCCCTCGCGATCGGTCCCCGCTGCCATTGTCAACTGGGCCACTTCATGCCTGCCAGTCAACCGTCTGCGTGGCTGCCTCCCACCACAATCCACGGACGCCAACATCGATCCACCCGCTTTCCACCCATTCCCACTCCTATCAACACCCAACCCCAGCCCTCAACCAGAGAGGGCCCCGTGCGGAAATCAACACGCCCCGCGCCCACAGTTCAGTCCACAATATGTTGGCAGCTAAGAATATGTGCCAGTTCAGTCCACAATATATTAGCAATCAAAATTATGTGCCACTTCAGTCCCGAGCCCCTGCTCTTCTCACCTGTGACTTGCCAGAATCCTGCCGTGGCCACCCACAGGGCGATCAGCACGATCGCGTCGCCCCAAGAGGCTTTCATTGCTGGTCCAGGGGCCCAGTTGCCGCCCAGCAGCCGCCGGCGGCGCCTGGGCAGGTGCAGGCGTGCGCCTGCCGACACGCATGTCGCCATGAGCGGATAGCACATTCTTGGGAACTTCGCCCGAACCTCGCTGCGCCTGGCCGGAATCGCCAATCACCCAGAGAAGTACAGCCAGAAGGGATGTGGACTGGACGAGCGGGGCAGAGAGGCGGGCAACAATGCATTATTGCGTCCAGTACCGTCGCCTGGGAAGACAGGCTCACCCTGAGGGAAGAGGCTCGAAAGGAGGCTGTTCTCGTTCTGTGGAGTCCCCCCGTGACTGCCAGGGCTGCTGGGCCGGATCTGGATGGTGAGTTGTTGCCCGTCTGCGTGAGATCGATGGGCGGGTCACGCCAAGCGACCCTTGTCGGAGCGCGGGAGGCGACTGGCCTGATAGGGGTGCGGCTTCCCTTCAGCCTCGGCCTTGAGGAAGCGGGCTGGGGTCGCCCAGCAGCCTCATTACCGCGCACGTGGGGGCGCTTCGACCCGGAATTAATAGAGTCGATGACACTGACGTGCGACCTTGTACAGTAGGAGTCCCTATATAGCGCCCCGTGACGTGGCCAAAAGGGGGGCGCTATTGGGCGCCGGGGGCGCTGTTGTGTCAAGGGGATGCCCTGAGCAACCGGTGTAAAGGGTACCCCGGCCGCCAGTGTAGGGAGTACCCTAAACTGCCAGTGTAGGGGGTATCATGGCCGCCAGTGTAGGGGGTATCATAGCCGCCAGTGTAGGGGGTACCCGGCCGCCAGTATAGGGTGTAGCCTTGCCGCCGGTAGAGGGTACCCTAACTGCCAGTGTATGGGGTACCTTGACCGCCATTGTGGGGGGTACGCTACCCCCAGTCTACTGGGTCCATAACGGCTTTTGGGGCCAGCGGCTGTCGCAGCGCCGAAGTCGCGGGCGCTGGGGCCTGTCAAAGTGAAACAAAGCACTACGAGAACCGTGACGAGCTGTAAAGGGAGTCGCTAAATTTAGACAGGTCGCTAAATAGGGGTCGCTAAACCGGACACCTGTACTAGTTTGAGGTCCCACTGCACAACAAAGCTGCACAAGGTACTACATAAATGGTGACATGCCAAAAAAGGGGGCGCTATTGGGGGGGCGCTATATAAGGACCCCTACTGTATTTGGGGGGCTGAGCCCCAATTAATCCTCAAGGGATCCCTTGCAAGGGACACACCGCTCCGCCGTATTCCGTTGCCGTGTACAGTACTATTTTATACCTTCCAGCATTGTAGCGTAACGTTTGGCCTTTGTATGGGGAGCAACAATAAGAAAGCAGTGGTACCAAGAAAATGTGGGGCAGCCTCAGCTGCGACGCGAGGATCTCTGGAGTGCTCGTGGCCCAGGGTGACCCAGGGCCACGAGCTCTCCAGAGATCATGGATTCTCATGGATCGCTGAGTCGTTCATGAGTCGTTGTGGCCGGAAACCGGCATTTGAGGCCATGTGAAGTGAACGAAGCTGCTTTTCTGGCTGTGAACCATGGTGTCGAGCCCCTGTAGTGAAGGCCTATCGAAAACCTGCAGAAAACTTCAAAATGCTAATGGGTTGAGTATTGAACGGTACTCAGGCCTACGGGCCCCCTCAGGGGTTGCCACCCCTCGACCTGCCGTCCTTCATCAACGTAGCCAGGAGTGCTGTTGCATTCTTGCATTACTGTACTGATGCTGCCATCTTCCGCATCGTTGAATGGTGCCACTTGGCGTGACGTGACCTGATGGGATGGATGGAGCACGAGGGGAAGGTTAGCTATATATATATATAGTCTATATATATATAGAGTCTATAATCAGTTCTTTGAAATCTGATATTCAACACAAGCAAAGTTTAGGAATCTATTAACTCCTAATGCCAAGAAAAGCGATGTAACAATTGTTACAACAGGGGACCCCAGTCTTCGAGAATGGAGGCTAACCGCGTAAAGGAAGTGGAATCAGTACATGTGATGCATCGCCACCTGCCTCGACAAGCACGCACACTTGGACCTCCCGAGGACATAACCGCGGTGGTCATCGTCTATCCGCCGGTCAGCCGCACGCCAAAACCCGCAGCTCAGCTCGGCCAGCGAAGCTGACCCTCGCCAAGCCCTGAAGCCGTCTCCCACTCCGCTCTGGAGCAGACCGTCGTTCGGGGCCCAGCACAGGTGCGGACCCTCGGCTTGTGGCGGTGGCTGAGGATCGGCTTTTGGGTATGCGTTTTGTGAGGGTATGGGAAGGCGCGGGCATGTCCAGCACGTTGAAAGGGGTTTCCCTTACGGAGGAAGAACTTGAATCGACTGGCCTCAGCAGGGCCGTGGACATAAACGTGGTGCGTCGAGCGGCTCACGAAAGAGCGGCCCGGTTCCGTCACCATCCCTCCGGTCGGCATTTGCACGACCAGTTGGAATCTGTCGGCGTTGGTTTCGAGGGCACGGCTCCCATTCTACGTCCTGCGCGACCTGTCAGTGTCGAAAGTTGTTGCGGGCAGTGCGAGGCGCCGCGCCCTTTGCTTCCAATCATTCCACACGGTCGCTCTCGAGGGGCCACTCGTTTCAAATCAATCTGTGTCATCGTTCGCCCGAGGCCACACCGAAGGCGGGAGCGCGCTGCGACAGTATGCCCTTCTCGCTCGTCCGCCAGGGCCGCTCGCTCGCGACTCGCGTTGCCGTTTCGGATACGTTACCTCGCCGATCAAGGGGCGACGCAATCGAACTATGGATCGAGCCCCTTGGGTCAGGCGTTTCGCCCGACGGTAGAAACCCGTCGGTTTGGTTTCGACAAGACGACTGGAGCCCGTGTCGCTACAAGGGCGCTCGGAACGCCCGGAGCGTTTTGGTATCACAGAACACCAACAAGGCGGCCCCTTTTTGCCGACCACGCCCGGCAACCCCTCACCACTGCAGAGCAAGACCACGCTGCATGAGCCACCACCTCTCTCTGCAAATCAATCCGCTCCATCAACTCTGCCAGAACCCTGTGCCAGCGCCCCGTGAGATCCAATCTCCTCCGCATAGATTGCCCTCCCGCCCCGCGCGATTGCTGATCTCCCTTCCCGTCGCTGCCCTCAGGTGAGAGCATGAAGGCGCGGATGGCATCTTGCGGCGTCTTCCTGGAGCTGTTTCTGGCCGTCAGCGTCTTCCTGTGGGCGGCTCCGCGCGCGGACGCAGTTAGAAACGGTGAGCGGCTGTCTGTGCCGGCGTGCCTGTGCATATATGGATCACAGACATGGCATACCCTGTTTGATTTTCGATTGGCGGGACCTTCAAGATTGTCCCAGTTCGATGCATACCAAACAGGGCATTCGATAGGTATTCAGACATGGCATACCAGGTTTGGATTTCGATTGTTGGGGCTTTGAACATGCTCCTTGCAACATGTTGAAAACGAGTTGTGGGGCTTGCGGATGGTGCAGAGCAAGGAGGGCGATAGGTTGGGGGGTGGGCCTGGGGAGTAGCGCCTGTTGGCAAGCAGATGTCTCGAAGCCAATCCAGAGCCAATCAAGGACAACACAGCACCTTGGTCTTGTCCACCAGTGTGTGTTTGTGGTCATTGCACTCTGTGCGCCACCCTTTGCGCTCTCCACGGTGTTGCGGCGACGAGCTGCTGCGCTCCATCTGCGAGCGGCAGCTCTGTATAGGGCGGTCGATGGGGGCGGGAAGATGCCATTAGCGCCCTTTCGTCGATCGGCCGGCCGCCGGGGTTAAGGCGAACGCTTCTTTCGCACCCACGCTCTAGAGACTCTCTGGACGCTCTCTAGACGCTCTCCAGTAGAGAGCACACTCAGCGCGGCGACCTGGCCACAGTTTTAAGACCCGACTGAATAAGTGTCAGCCACAAAGCCGGTGGCGATGGCGGCTGGGTAGGGCCCGGGAGGGGTGCGTTGCGGACTTGCTTTCAGCTCACCGCTGTGTGTACATATCGCTAGCTCGTGCCGTACAGTCATTCGCCACTGTGTTCCATGAGGAGAAATGTCGAGTTCAAGGTTGAGCGCTCTGATTTCATGACCCTGGCACTCGATACTTGATGCAGCCATATCTTGATCCGTGTTGCAATTTTGCAATTTGCAAATGGGGCCTCTCACTTCCACCGCGTCTTTCGGCGTCCGTGCCTTCGGCTACAGGATTGGGCGCGGTGACTGGCTGGGACATATTCAGTTTCGGGGCGAGTAGCGAGGCAGCTTCCAGCGCTACTGGTTCCAGCACTGCCACAGCGAGCGCCACCGCGACGTCGAGGCACGCTGGCAGCGCGAAGGTGACGAATTGTTAGACATATTTTTCAATCGACGGCAAAGTGGCATAGAGAAGTATAATTGAAATAGTACGAATCCTTTCCCTTGTTAACATTGAAATTTCACGTACACGAACAGATGCCATTGTAACACCATTTGGAAAAGGTCAGAAAATATGTGGAATACGGAATCGTTTTGCCGGTGAATTGCGTTGCAAACATAGCGCCATGCGCCCACATCTTTTGCATAACACAGCATAGGCTGGCAGCTACATCACCTCCGCTGGCGTCAAAACGAAAAAGAGTTTTGCTGGTTGCATCTGCGAACCTTAGCATGTCCTTGGGCATGAGAAATGATTGCATTTGGTTATGTTTGACAGAGGCAAGCAGGACCTGCTCATGTAGTGGAACTTAAGTGTATATTTTAACATTCTTCAATGTTGTAATACGAGAAGCAAAATGCCATTTTGGCGGCAAGATCATTGCTGCGTGGTACCATTGTATTTATGAATGGGCGAAAATCGAAATTTGGAGCTAAATTTGAATGTCAGGAAGCCACATCGCGCTTGCAATGGTCCCATTTGAATACTTCATCAAGTTTGGGCATAGCTGCCTGGAGCTGTTCTAGGCGATAACGTCTGCGCCAAGCACATTTCTACTGTGTTCTGTGGATAGAGGGAGACAAACAAATCGAAACAAGATTTGCCCGGCTGAGCATGTTAGCCTCATAATAGGTAGGATCGCTAACACCACT